ATATATATATATATATATATATATATAATGTATTTTTTTAGTTTAAGGAGTTATTTAAAAAATATACAATTTAAATAGCTTAAATATTTTTGTAATTTTTAATTAATTATTTTTAATAATTTACATGATAAATTTTTATCATTAATAGCTTTTGGTGCACAAGAAAGAAAAGAGAGTTATATTTAAAGACTATTCGGTAATAAACATGAAGTATAGATGAAGTGAGAAGAAGCAAGGGGATTCCATAAAAAATAAAATAAAATAAAATAAAATAATACTAATACACTAATAATAATAATAATAATAATTTCATTGTATTTTACGAAGAATTGGTGTGAAAAAATGTCACTTTATATTTGAGCAGGTAAAATGAGTTAAATTTGTTAAGCTAGCACAAACCTGTTCAATTAATTATAGGATTTAGATTCTAAATTTTAAGCTCGAATAAAATGTAGGTCTTTGTAGCATGATCGCATAAAACTAATGTCAAATGAGTTTGGACCAAATTAGTTGGATTAAGTCATAAAGTACTTGCATCATTATTTAATTCTCCTAGATGACTATATAAAAGTTTAATAATTAAAAGACATAAATTAAATAAAATTATAATATTTATAAATTTATACCAAAATAGTTATATACACACTTTAACTACAAACTTTACAAAATGATAGATAAATTAACATATTATATATAAGTGTTTTTTATATTAAAAATAATTATAACAATTATTAGATTATCAAATTTTAAAATTTTGAATATAATAATAGAATAAATTAATTATTTATATTATATTTATGCATTAAAATAAAATGTTGATAAAAATAATTATCACAACAATTATTTAGTTTTAATTTTAGAGGAAAAATAAAAATTGACAAAAAAAAGTTTTAAAAAGTCTAATCTTAAAAGTTTACCGTGCACGTATGGTCGAACTTAGAAGTAAAAGAGATTTTATAGATAATTTTGTTCAGAGATTTTTTTTTTGTTTTCATTATTTGTCAACTTTAAATATTGGGATGCATTAAATTATGTATTAAATGTTTTCCTGATCTAACAAGATATTAAGATAATATAATTTTAAGCATGTGACTAAATTTATTTAAGCCAGTGAGTATCTGAAAAAAAAAGGATTAAAATAATTTTATGTAGAATAAAAAGTTACCTAAATTTAGAAACTAAAAACTATTGACTTAAATACTTTTGTTCTTAGCAATATACACTTTGTTATATTATTCTAGTTTTTGCAATATATACGATTTTTTTTATATTATAAAATGAGGATAATTAATTTTTAGCTTTTATCATTTTTTTCCAAAGGTATTAATGTAAAATAAACAAAATATTATAGAGACTAATATATATATATATATATATATATAAATAAAGAGAGAGAAAAATATAATAACAACTGATATGAGCATGAGATGACTAACTACAAAAAGATATGAAAATGTTTTTAAGATTACTTGTGAAAATTTTTTAGGGTTGTTCTCACTTCCATCAAAATACCAAATCATTACTTGTAAAAGCAGTGATTTGAGTTGTCATATCAACAGGGTTTAGACTTATCATTGGGATTAGACTTATCAATCTTCTCTCAACCATTCAAATAACCAAACATACATATTCCATTCATATATCAATATTACCATCATCAATTCAATCAAACTTAATTAATTCCTTAATGAGATGAGATTTCAATCTTCTTTCCTAAATTTCAATCCCCTTTCCTAAATTTCAATCCCTCAAATATTTAGAAAAGAAGTTGAGTTAAACTCTGATGATTAAACAACTAACATATTTAACTTTATTACTAAACATCAAATTCAAATATGATTTATTCTAGATGGAGATTCAAAGAGTATTTTTTAATAAAACTTCAAATCAAAGATCAAGTTATAGGTGATCAATCCATAACAAACATAAAGAACAAGAATAAATCATTGATATTGATATATAAAGAGGAATATATATATATATATATATATATATATATATATATATATTTCTAAAAATATATTTCCCAAAAAAGGGAAATGAAAATATATATTAATACATAATATTGTTATGAATCACGCATGGTAATTTTCATCCAGCAAATTAACTAAAGTTGTATGTATAACCATGAAAACATAATGGTAACACTACAAGAAAATTGCGAATTAGAGAGGGAAAGATCCTTCGCAAATTTCTTGCAAATCCAAGTGTTAAATGATTACATCTAATCCCAACTAAGTGTGATTTAACTATCCATTTTTGTGTTAGCCTTTAAGGACAAGATAACAGATGGAAGAAAGAAGAAATCCATAGTAGTTGAATCGTAATATCTTTCGTGCCCAATCAAAGGAAAGAGAAAGAGTCCAACAGGAGGAGGGT